AACAATGGGCAAAAGGAGAACAAAAGCACATTAAGAGCAAGATGGTCTACTAGAAAGACTGCTGGATTAGGAATCAGAAGACCTGAGTTTTAGTCACGGTTCTGCTAACAGCCTATTGGGCAAGTTAGCTCACTTTCTATGCCTTAGTTTACCCATCTGTATACTGGTTTATATCCTGAAAACTTTGTGTTCAGTAACAAGATTTAAATAGTTATACAACCTGTGAATTTTCACTTGCCTGCTAGCTAAAGAGTACTATTGCTATTACCCTCAGAGTTGGACAATGTCACTCAGCAGACTGTGTTGAGAGGCAACACACCGTGGTGAAGGGAACAAATTGCAGGGAAATAGCTATTATATGATGGCTGTAGACAGGCTGTGATTTATACTGAGATTGCCTTGAACTGTATGTCTAGAGAAATTAAACATTATTATGTTTTAATTTCCCATACTAAATGGGAAAGTAACAACAGGTTATTTTAGAATTAAGATAATTATTTGAAAATTGTATAAAACAGCTTATGGACATACTTCTAGTTCCTTTTTGGTGGGCTCTAATTTTTACCTTCCAATGTTGGTAACATTGTTAAATTAAGATGAATTTTGTGGCAAGTCTAATGATGCTTGTAAGCAGGTTCTGTTTTAAAGTTGAAGTGGTATTAGAGTACATAAATTATTACATTAAAAGCCAAATTCCATGCTCACTTACATCCATGGAAACTACACAAAAGTCAGTAGAGAACTGCCAGATGTGAGTAAGAGTAAATATGCAGAAAATGGATAGAGATGAATAGCCTTCAATGGCATTACTTAGTGACCCCCTAGTTTATCTTATGCCGACCACAATATTTGTCTGATTCCTAAAAGTACCAATTTAAACAAATCATACAAATACCCCCAGAAAAGAATGGTATATGAAGGCTTCAGAAGAATAGAGGTCATTTTGACTTAAAGCGGAATGAAAAACTTGTCCAGTGAGAACCTGTGGAATTGAGAATCTGCATAAAATGAAGGAAAATAGCATGACATTGTTTCTTATACAAAGGGGAATCTCATAATACATGGAATCTCATAGAGAATATCATCTTATGTTTCTATAAGGATTTTCAACTTAAAGCACAAATTACTAACAGTAAAAATTATGTAAAGAGATTTTTTGGCACCTCCCAGGTGAAGTGGAATGCTAGACAGCACATGCCAGACTCCGTAACAAAGTGACAAAAGAGAAATTTAGGTCAAAGATAGAAAGCAAACCCTAACCCTTAAGAACAGTTACACAACCTATGACTTTGAGATTTTTAATGTTGAAGCAGTGATGACAAGTTTTCCTAAACACCCTATACCATAAACTTCATAGAACCTCTTTTATTTGCTGCAGTAGTAGGTTTGTATCTGCTCTAATGAGTCTGAAACTGTGGTTCCAAAGAGTCTGGCTATGTGGTACTGATATTCAGATTAAGCCATTCTTTTTATCATATAAAACACTAAATTTAGCACTCATCTGCTAAGAAGATACTTGCTCATGAATAAGCCATTAAACCCTTTAGAGTAGACAACTGAAAGTAGTAGTAAGTTTGTGCACTGTAAAGGACTTGAATGATGATTAATTTCTTCAAACAAAACGGCTGGTCTATATTTTGCCAGAACAGATTAATTGGGAAACATAAGATGCCTTAAGAACTCCTGTGGCCTCACAATGGTGAGAAACATGATTCTTGGAAACAGATGGATCTCAAATATTGAGGACCGCCACTGTTACTACTTTAGAATGAATCTTCAATAAAGTAGATTTAAGAAAACCTTTGGAATTCAAAAAAATCAAATTGTCCAGAAATAGTTACAAGAGACAAAACTGTAGATATAAAAATTACTAAGAAGACTGATACTAACAGGAGTCAACTTTTGGCAAAAAAGGGAAATTAGTAAAGTGATAAGAAAGTAGAGGTTAATTATACACACATTTATCAAACATGCACAGGAAGGTGACATACAAAGCACAGGAATACAGCATTTGTTGAGGTCCCAATGAAGTCAATAGAATTGCCTTGAATTGTGACCTATGTCCAAAAGACATGTATTGACCATCTGGTTCGATTATTGAAACAAATGACCTAAGCACTGAAAAAATTAGCTGCATTGTACATTTTCCTGTACACTGGTTCCCAAAGGGTGGCTTGTAAAGAATGTATACATAGCCCACAAAGAGACTTTAATGGTAGCCATCATTGCTATATCTATTGAACATAAAGGATGGATCCAGATGTGCAAGCATGTGTGGTTTGTGGCACCACAAACCTCTTTGCAGTGCTACAAACCATATTCCCGGCATGCTAAAATGTGCCCTGTGCTGCAAATTTGCAGTGTGGGGCAAAGTTTGCTACCAAGAAGTCCCAGTAGCAAAAAACCCAATGCTGTGAAAAAGATGGTACAGCACATTCCACAGGAGCATGTGTCAACAGACACAGAGGCTCAGTATTCCTGGGAGACACTGGCTGCTGGCCAGAAAGTCTCCCCTCTTCTAGTTCTGCCCTGGCTCCTCCAGCACACCAGGAGCCGGGAGGAATGGGGAAACAGCAGTTTCTCCGAAGCAGGGCATTTACCTTGCACCAAAACCCATACGCAGAGGCATGCACAGCAGCAAAAAGTAGTAGCACAAATTTGTGTCACTACTTTTTTTTGCTGCTGCAAGCACATGCCCCTGCATGTGGGGATAAGCCCAAACATATTATACTTCTGATTAATTTTGTTATGTTGTGCCATTTTGTTTTGTTATGAAGCTCCCAGCGTGACAACTTGATCATACAGTCTGACTTGCATAGCATGTCAGAAACATGATAATAAGTCTGCATTTTATCCTTGAAAATACGTGAAGAAATACCATACATACCAAGGCTGAGATATTCAATAGTTATTAGGTTTTAAAAGAAGATGCTTCCTTAAAAGCCTGTAGTAGTTATAAACTTGAATTTGTAACTTTTCACTTTACTCTTATGATCGTGACAGGTCAGATTAAGACAAAAAGAACTTTAAACCAAGGATGAAAGGGAAACAAATAAGATATTGATGGGGAAGGCAGACCTTTAAATTTTGTATATCCTTCATTTCTGTAATTTCTTAAAGTATTTTATTCTGTTGCCAAAAATGAAGACTCAGGTAGCAAAAAAATCAGATTTTTTAATTTCAATTTGCAAAAAATGGGTTAAAGTTTCTTAGTTGAAAGAAGTGATTAAAAATATCAAAGCTGTTTCCCCTCACTCTGTGAAAAATGTATGAGCAGAGAAGAAAAACTAGCAATCATGCATTCTTTCTTCCTGCTGTCTCCTCTTTCCCTGTTTTCTGGGAAATATGTTTATGTAAAAGCAAGAGATTCCCCATTTTTGGTTAACAGGCTTTATTGATTTCTTTTTCTTTTAGAGTTATTAATGACCATTCAGTGAGATGTTGATTAAAGCAGAGGTTCCCAAATTTTTTCTTATTGCATACCCTCTTCCAGATTACCAGTGGCCCACATACCCGACCAGCATACAGTTTATATTTTAACCCCTTAAATGCCAAATATGAAAGAAAAACAACGAAACCTGATTTGGGTTTCTTTTACATAAGATAAAGCTCAAATTGTCAAAAAAAAAGAAATTATGATTTGTCCAAATACTAAATACATTTCAATATACAAACCCTCATTTTCATGCATAAATTACCCACACAAACAACTAAGTGAATGAATACTATGTGTGTTGTGTATCCAGCCATTCAACTTAAAGAGTATATATGTGTGTATATTTTTCTAAACATTTGGTTCTGAAAATTTGGTTCTGAATTATGAAATTGAATTGCTACAATTAATTGAATGCAAAACAATACATTTCTACTAATTGAGAATGCTCTTACAAAGAATAATTGTAACTTTGTGGCAGGAGTTAATTTTACAGTATCATCCAGATTTATATCCCAATGAAAATTCCTGAAAACACTCAAACTCCACTGCCAGGGTTTATTACATAAATAAAATCAAAAGGGACAGAGCCTAGACCCTTCCTCTGATACCCTTCTGTGTCTCTGGTGTTGCTGGCTCAGCTGGCAGCATTCTCTCTCTCTCTCACATACACACACATACATACACGCAGATGGATTCCAATTAAAGTTTCATACCTCATAATGGCTGTTCAAGGCATCTGGAATTCCAGGTAACCCAGGAGGACCCTATATTGAAACAAAACATCAAGGAATAATTTTCATTTACAGACTATTTAGGCTAGTTATATCAGTGTTAATATTGTGCCACACTTTTAAAAGTTTCACAGTTGTAATTTGATTATTTAATATAATGACATTATTTCTATCTATATCTATATATTTTATAGTTAGATAGCTAGATAGATAAGCAGTCTGGCAGAGCTGGACAGAGATAATAGATATATCTGTTTTAATCTGAGTCAGCTCTATTACATGAGGAAACTGTTTAGTTGCTATTGCAATGCCTCAGGTCTTTTATCCACAGAATTAAAAGTGAAAACATACATGTTCTGAAGCAGAAGCAATTATTGAGGGGGGTGGGACAATAGTTTGATCAATGAATCTGATCTCAGAGTTGTCTGTTTCCATGTGAAGTGTTTTGTTTCCATTTGAAGAACATTAGAAGGACTAATGTTCAATTTCGATCAATAATAAATACAATTAGAACTTATATAGGCACCCAAAGATTTGTAATAATGTGTAATAATAAAAGGAGATAATATGCAGAACCTATGGGACAAGGGAAGCTATAAAAAAAACCATGTCAAGATCTGTTACACCAAGAACAGAATATGTTTGGCCAAATCCTGTCCATGCAACTCAACTGGAGTAGCTCTCCATTAGCTATATCAGGGCAGAACATAGGTTGCTGCAAATAAGAAATGGAGAAATGTTAAAAATAATATTGTTTGCATCTTACACAGGAAATTTCATATCCTATATGATAGTCTGTCTTGATGGTTGTGAGAAATAGTTACCTAAATTAATAAAAGAAACATGTACTTGGATCTGGGCAAGCTATTTCTGTTACTTTGGCAACTTACTCCTTTCTGACCCTGGGGTTGCCTGAGGCCAGTTCAGTCTCTGGCACATATTATAACAGCCCAGCCCCTTTGATGGGTTAGGGAGGCTGGGAGAAGCTGTCATAGAGCCAGCTTTTCTGGCTGAACAGCACCTGAAGATTGTAGGTGCAATATGAATCCCTTTCAGTTTTGGATTAGAAAAATACAGGTCTTATGGATTGGGATCATATGGCTGAAGTACCACAGAACCACAGTGTCACTTCATTCATTCTTGTTTATGAGGTATATTCTGTGCAAAGCAGAACTCGGGCACAGCTATAGCTAGATGGGAACTCCCAGTGAGTTCAAGCATTGTAAGAATTGGTGTAACTATTTTAGTGAGTACCATTCTTTCTTTGGATCAGTACTGAACTGATACTCCAACATGAATGGATCCAATATTTTGAAAAGGAGGTGGGGGTGCAGAATGTGTGGCACATCTTTACATATAAAATGACACATTTTTCTCTAGTTAAAGAAAACCTAGAAACTGTATGAGGGGGATAAGACTATATTATTCAATCTAAGTTCAGAGTAAAAATAAATATAAGTATAGGAATGTGCACTAATTTGCTCAGTTATGAAGTTTAAAGTTTAAAAAAATAAACCACAACAAACTAGGTAAAAAAAATTGTCAAAAGATTTTGTGTCATTAGTTATATAGTCATTATAGTTAAATGTACATCTCTTATTCAGATTCACAAAACAAAATCTAGCCTTCTTGAGTGTCTTCACAGTGCCTTCAATACTTGACTCAGCCATTTCTACTCCCGAGTTAATATTGCCACACTTTAGTTAAGGTTTATAAAAAGCTAAGAAGTCTGCTGGGCTGTGAAATAGAAGAGAGACAGTACCAGGAATGGCTAACAGACAGCAAAAATTGTGGCATAAAAGTAAGTTTGAAAACTGGTACATAAAGATCATTAAAAAGGATATATGGGTCATTAACACCTCTGGAATGCAGAGAAATTAGTGGGAATCAGGGAGATGATAATCAGCCATGAAATCAATTGTTTCTTTTAGCACTTCCGGAATAGAAATGCTGCTGCCAGGCAGTTGATTTTAAAGGTTGGTAGGTCCAGTAATCAAAAACAGGGTGCAGTTACATCACTGCACTTGCCTGGATCCACCTTTCGACTTGAGTTGAGTGTTGGGCAATATCATCCTTTCACAGGTGTAGTCTTTTGCATGAACTATCATGACCATTAAATGTCTCTCAATAAGTTTTGAGCAAAGAGAGGTAATTAGTCGCAAGGTAGAGATGCACCTTATAAACTGAGTGAATCAGAGATACATGTACTTTTGTGATCAACAGCTCACTTCATCAGACGCTATGAAAGGACATGCAGAGAGCAGGCTATAAAACAGAGAAAAAGTAATCTGTAATCTGTTCAGTAATGTGAACAGAAAAGACAGGGAAGGAATGGAGACTGCGGGTGAGGGGAGTAGTGCTGAGAGAGGCAAACAAGTAATAAATCTGTATGGACATAAGGGTCAAAAAGGCTCAGGCAGGTAATGGGAACAGAATACATAAACCCCTGCTTTTCTGGCTAAATCTTAGACTATCTAAATAGTTCCACTACAATTTTGACTTGATAAGCCATTTCATTTTCTGTCCTAAAAGGTGGCCTAGCACTGGTGTGACAAGGGTGTAGTGGCATACTGGTTAAGAAGAAGGTAACAGGGCTAACCACCTCTCTGATGATGACTTCAGGAATCTTGATCCATACTTGTGCCAAAGGCCAACACAAACCAACCCTGCTGTACATAAGTACCTATGTAGTTTGAGCTGGGGAGTCAGAGGTGATTGGATCTGAATAATTAACCTAATTGCTTTTTACTATGCTTTTGGTTATGGTACTTCGCTAGCACAAAGCTAGTCCAATGGGCCTTGTAGGACAAGGAGACCAGGACTTCAGTATTGCTGTGCTCACTTAAGTAGCTGCTGCATGTCACCTGGGAAGTAAGTACTGTATTTACTTGAATATAAAGCAAACCTGAATATAAGATGACTCTGCATATATTATATTCTATATATGAAAAAAATATAAATTTGTTACAATATTCCAGGTAAAGAATTGAATTATTGGAGGTTTGCCATGAATTTGTCCCTCTCCCACAGCTACATCAAGGAAAATAAATCTGAGGACTTAGCAAGCCCCCTTGCCTTCCCAATTTCTTCCCCTGCAGCCCCTACACCCCTTCACCCTTACTGCCAGACCCTGCTCTCCCTGAGCACATGGAAGTGAAGGGCAAATCTGAAAACACTGAGTGTGAAATAAATATGCCTATAGTAATTTAGCTCATCCAGAATAGGTGTATTTTACCTTTTTGGAAACTGCTGCAAGTTTCAGTACAGGTATTCCCTTAATATGCATTAAAGCAGCACTTTTGTACCTACTTATATATAGTATATACTATGCATGATATTAGTTCAAAGCCAAAAGACTCATGATTTACCATACAGTTCATTAGACTGGGCCCCACAGAGTCAACAGCATTTCAAGCCATGGCCCATAGATCAGCACTGTTCAATATGTGTGTGTACTCCAGATACCCCACACAAAGCAGCCATGTGTTAATTAGCCCTGCATTCCTGACTAGAATCAGATGTTCTTGTCATGAGTCCTGGGATCCTCTAAAAATATATATGCAGATGAGGTGTAGGTCAACCTGATCTGCCTCCACCTCATGGAGGGAGGGGCCACACTGATCATACATGACAGGCTGAGATAGTGGGCAACAGAGGGATTCTGAGTGAACTGTTTAGGGTCCTGTTTGATGATGCTTGTCAGATATTTAAGGCTGGTGAAGAAACAAGCATCTTTGGAAATGGAAAAGGCACAGCTCACCTGTGGGAGTGAACAGGAAGTAAAAATGTATTCAATGTAGTGGCTCACCATGACTTGAAAAAGAGTCCGCACTATGTGGGACTGAGCATGATGGACCCTTCTATATATCTTATTCAGATGCACTGCACTAACCTATCCTGTGGTAGGTGCCCAATCTTGGCTATGTGTTTCATAATCAGGCTCAGTGCTAGCTGCATTTAATCAACTTTATAGTTGGTTTCCATTACTGAGCACATGCTGCTTTTGGCAGTTGTTTAATGATAGAGAATGTATTTCATGAGCTTTCCTTGTACGTGAATGTAAGATGAGGAGTTTTTTTCCTCATACTGATTGGGGGACAATAAAATTGTCAAGTAAATATGGTAGTTTTCAGTGGTAGAAAAAATGTTCTTTCTCAAATATCTTTTCTGTATAAACACTTTGTTAAAGTCTACAGGAATTGTCATGATTTTATAGAATGAAAATATCAATATAGTATGAAAGAGTGAAAAAATCTTTTAAAGACTTCCAAGCACGAACATATGGAAAATATAAACTCTGATCATTGTTACAAGAATTCTTAACCTTACAGTCATCTGCAAAAAATTAGTAGCCAGAATCACTTTTAACCCCTGCTGGAGAATAGGGAATCAGACAGTCTTAGAATTCTACAGCTTTTAACTAGGTTAGTAGTTAAGAGTTAAGGTTTTCAGATCAAGAGCCAGTGACAAATTCAAAAGCAATGAAATGTTAAAAGACTCTAAGAAAATTTCAGTAAACTCAGAAAAGTTATCAGCTCTTGATCCTATTAGTAAGACCAGACTAAGGAAGCTTCCAACTTTTAGAATGCTGGGAGACATCCAGAATTTGTTTTGTGGAAGCCTTCCAGGCCCAGACAGCTTGAAAGTCTGAACTGAGATGATAAATATGTATGTCTTTATATGTATAGAGCCAAATATCCAATAGATTTATTTTTCTGAGAAGAAAAGAAATGCTGAATGAGCCCAACTGTACAACTGGAGAGTAGCTACTAGAAAAAAGTAAATACTTCAGGAAAAAAGAAACATCTAAGGAGCGATTTGGCTACAACTATACACCATGGCCATACCACAGATGATATTCTTGATACCTCTGACAATTCCACATATATTAATATGTATAAAAGATGCTACCAGTAAACTTGATGTGACGTGAGGTCTTTGTTATGTGACACTTTTGTATTGTGGTACCAATTGTAGAGGACATAAAGAGGTAGTGATGGGTTTGTGGCAGCACTTTGCTGTAACTTCTGAGA